GGTAGGGTAGCGCGGAAGGCACCGGTGGGGGCACGGAGGGGAGTCGGGACCCCCGACCCCGCCGGCCCGCGTCGGGCGGGGCTGCAGGTAGCGCGGAAGGCACCGGTGGGGGCACGGAGGGGAGTCGGGACCCCCGACCCCGCCGGCCCGCGTCGGTGACGGTGGGGCTGCTCCCCCCGCGGATCGAGGGCCCTTCAGCGAGCGCCTCGTTCGGTGGCATCCATTTGAACCTGGCACCCATTTTAAAAGGCTGTCGGTAAGAAAAAAAAGCATCGGCACCGATTCATTCGGTTCGAGTGAAAGCCCATTAAACATAGTTTTCGTCGGGACTTTGACTGCGTAGCGCGGTGTTATTAGTGAAATTCCTCCGGGCGACCTGGCCCACCTTTTGATTAAACGCTAATTCGGGTGTTGGTGTTGCGCTGGTGCCAGCTGCAGTTGTAATGACTAATAGCAACCCAAGCGTTGTGCACTTAGTGTTCTGAAACATATAAAATATGATCGTGCTGAAAATCTGCCTGGTTAAAGGCTGTTTTTCTCATGGTAAAAAGGTGTTAAAAGCACAAGAAACTCCGTTGAAAGACCTTTCTGTGGATTTAGGACAGTGTAATGTGCTGAAATCTTAGTCTGCCACCAGTGTTTCAACAAGTAGTTCAAACACAGTTTGAGGCAGTCTTAAAACTGGGCATTAGAGTTGCCAGTTTGCATTGAAGCAGAGGAAGCCCAAGTGGCTGTCGACTGCTGGGGCTTTTTTGTACAGTGGTCTAAGGGGAAACAAGGATATGATCTCGGTCATCTTAATCCTTTCCAAAAAAGCAAAGATAACTCGTTACAGAAGTCTAATCTATTTTTCCTAATGGAAAATCAAATGAGATGCTTGTTAAAGTCATTTGACGAGTAGACTTCCCCTTTGATACTCTGTTATCCTTGATGATAATTTGATAAAACACTTCTGAAGAAAAAAAATAACCTCTGAACACATGAAAGACTTTCAAGAAACAGTCTCCTCGGTTCCAGGTGTACTTTTTTGTGGCCTGTACAAATTAGAGACACTCTCATGTACAAATAAGCTGCCTCTCGTCAAGTAGGTAATAGTACCTCAATATTTATATTAAACATACTTTCTTCCAGCAGTCAAAGATAGCATCTCTATTGAGTAACAAGTTTGCTTCAAATTTTCAATACTGAATGAGGAAGAAGCGCATAGCAGCATCTTTTCCTGCATGATCAAGCAAGGCACTATGTATATAAGTTTTTAAAGATGAGAAAGTGATGGATTTAGATGCTCCGGAGGGAGAGGGATGAAAGGAGAGGTCACTTCAGAATTGTAATCTTGAGGAAAAGAGTCAATTGCGTGGGACTGTGCATTAGGTTGTCTTGTAGGTGCTATGATAAAACTCTGGTGTCAAATGCAGATTGGCTGGGTTTAAAAACTTTATGCTTGTGCTAGCAGGCTTGGACATTTCTTCAGGCTTTTGCTGCCGCAGGGATCGTACTTGAAAGCTGTGAAGAGCTAGAGGCTGTGTTTTTCTCAATAGACTTATTGTTCTTGCTTGCTTGTTTGACACTGGTGGCAGCTACAGAGAAACAAGATACTAAACGTAACTATTTGGTGTTAAGGCCTGCTAAGTTAATTCTGCTGAGCAATTTCTGTCTTGGAGATTGCACTTGGCGTAGAGCTGATCTTCACAGAAAGCGCTGAAGTGCTTTACAGAGCTGAATGGGAGAGCGGCTGGTGAAAACGCCCCCCCTTTCCTCAGGAGATGAAGAACCAGTCGTCTGTCTCCAGGTTGAGTTTTCTGGCTCAACTTGCTCCTAATCGCTCTTTGAACAGTTCTTCACCGCAGTCTTGTCCTCCAAACGTTTAGCTCTGATGCAAGTCTGGCTGGTGGCTCTCATGTTCACATGTCCTAGCCTTAAGTCCAGCTTCACAGCATCCTTTCTTACCCGAGGTGGGCAGTTTGTTTAGGTAGGGCAAGCCAGACTTCATCGACTGCCACCTCCAAAGGCTGATGTTCAGACTTTATTCTTGGGCAGGTAAACAGTCATTAGCTTAACAAGTCTGAAGAAATTACTTCAGCAAGGGTAGGTGGAGGGATCTGGATATGGTACACATACCTCCCTTTTATTTTTCCTCCTGCAGTCATGTTTGTTTGGTTGTTTTTTGCTTTACAATTTTTGGCAGAAGGAGATTTGCACAAGTGCTGGTTCCCTCTTATGGAATAGAAAGCAAGGAAGAGTAGTATATCCTTTCTGCGGAATGCATACTTAAACAACAAGGGGAGAGAAAGTTGTCGTGCTCATTACAGAGGAAAATGGATGTGGGTAAGACAAGCAGCTTAGATCCGAGGTGGTGGAAAAGCTTGTCTGTAACCTCCTGGCAGCTAGCACAGCGTTCCACGTATCATTCCTTGTGTTGTCCTAAATTCCTCATGTTCGGTCTGTATGAGACATCATGTCTTGACTCCATGACCTCACCAAGTAATTTGTGTTGATTTGTGTTGGTCCTGAAAGGTGCCTGTCCTATCTTTCTGAGTTGAAACGGTGTTGTGGTGTGCGATACTTTTTTTTCTTCCTTCTCCTTCCATCTTGAGAAAAAGGATCTGGTAGGATAGTTCAGCAATGCCAAAGGAAGATCTTCATGCTAGCCTCTGGTGGTTTTCTCGTGTACTGAGCGTATCCGTCCTTAGAATTTAGACATGTAAGGAGAGATTTTTGAGGTAAGAGTTCTCCTTCTGGGTAAAATGTAGCCTGGCATTCAGGCTGCACTAAAGGCTACTAACATTTTTTTTTTTCCCTCTGAATATGAGTTGTAGCAAAAACTTTTATTTGATGAAACAGGCTCGCTAGGAGCAGCCTGTCAGCTTAACAGTTATTTGAAAATTTAGGCAGAAATGGCTGCTTCTTGAAAATGTTAAATTAGGTAGTGGTTTTAATTTACTGCAAGACAAAAGCTAGATTTAATTTGATCTGACTTGGATAGGTGACAATATCAAACGAACTCTCATTTTGTTGCCAGAGAGGGAAACTGCTTTGAGTTAAGTGACTAGCTTTATTTTGCTTTGTGGTGCAATGTACTGGTTTTGTACCTGATGTAAAGATGCGGGATACAAGGTAGCCTTTTTTTTAATGTTGTTCCAAATCTTTAATTAGCTCTGGAACTAATATTTTAAAAGCTTGGGGACCAAAATATTAGGCGCTTAATTATAAATCAAACCTATGCTTGAGTAGCACATTTAAATATTCTGAAGATTTGCAGGCTACAATGTACGTCCTTATCTTACTTCTGCTTTAGTTTTGCTGCTTCCAAGTCGCAGGCTGTATTGTGCTAGACATACCTAGCCTTGTCAGATGCCTACATATGTCGATAGAGAAAAGAAAATTATAGTAGAAGATGCTTAGCCAGGTAGTGGAAAACCAGGCAGAGCTCCATTTGCAACTTTTAATCCAGACCGTTCTAAACAAAAACAGAGCTTCTGATTCTATGTCAGAAAGATGTGTGAAAGACACAGTGTTTCTGGAAAGGTATGTCTCTTGCATAATGAGGGATATAGAGCGTATGAATTCATCTGTGATGCTTCAGATAGGAGTGAGCTGCTTATTGGAAGTTAAGCAGGGTGTTGTAATATGACAAAATCTTGAAGAACACTTTGCTCGTGTTCTGCTGTATTGCATCATGTTGTTCCTTATTCTTTCTTCCAGTTTATCCCATAGGGAGTCTGTCACCTTAGAAAATGAATTATACTTCTGTATTTCACAACTGTTCAAGGTAGAAAGAAGCTTGATCCTCTTGTTTAGCAATGAAAGATATATAGTATTATACTGCCAGAAAAATCACAGTTGTAATACTGTTTGTTTGTTTGAATTCTTCCCCGCTCAGGTTGGCCTTCGGCAGCTAGATATGTCATTACTGTGTCAGCTGTACTCCCTGTATGAATCAATTCAAGAATACAAAGGTGCCTGCCAAGCTGACTCTAACGCAGACTGCACGTATGCTCTGGAAAATGGTTTTTTTGATGAGGAGGAGGAATACTTCTAGAAGCAGGAAGATTCACCTCCAGGCTGACCGAGGTTCTTTTGTCCTGTCCCTGTAACACACCTCAGCAAGAACGACTGGAATCTGTACGGATCTCCCTTCCTGAGGAGGAACACCCAGCTACCCCGAGTTGTGTTAAATTCACTTATTTTAACAGGCTGTCAGTACAAGTTACTTATGCAAATACCACTTGAGGAAAGTGCTGTACTCCAAAACTTTTGAAGAGTTCTCAAACATGCTTGACAAGAGTTTTCAATTTAATTTGCAAGGTGGGTGTTTTCAACTTAGAAACGTTGGTAGCTTTTAACTGGAATTTTAAACGTGGAAGACAGCAGCGACTTCCTGAGTTGTAATAACTTTGTAAGGGGGGAGGGAAGCCTCCGCTGTGGTGTAAATAGCTATAGGTGATTTTTTTTTTTTTTTGGTCAACGGTATTGATAAATGCATATTGAACAGGCAGCTGGATGCACGCGCATCTTCAGCTGTACTAAGCTAGTTCTGCTCTTATCAGCTGCATCCAGTTTTATACTGGGCGGATTGTTTACACAGTTTAATTTTTTTTTTCCTCCGTAAGCTAACTTTGACTTTTCCTTATTCCTAGCTTACAAGCTGTACATGTGATAGTGAATGTTATCAGCAGGTTTTTTTTTCTGTTGATCTAATTCACTTTCTTGGTACTGCCACTTGGCATTAACTTTTATACTATGGCCTGGATTTCTCGCATCAACATAGCTCTTTGACCTGCTAAACTCTGTTCTGAAATGGTTTGCTTAGCTTTTACTGTACTGCATAGTAAAAGCACAGATTCAAACATAGTCTGTCTGCCACTATGTGGCTTGGAATAACGTGAACTCTTGTGCAAGTGTTCTCGATCATATGAAGAATAAGGAAACCTCTCATGACAAAATGGGACAAACTGCAATATTTTATACTGAGTGAACTTTGTTTCTGTAAGGTAGACTACACCTCTTTTTAAAAATGCAAAATAAGTATTTTGAGCACATACTTTGCATATGTTAAAACTTTTTATACTAACTTGTTCTTTGAAGTGTAACTTATTTTTGTTTTCAGAACTTACTAAAGCACTCGGTTAAGTTTTTATTATTTCATAGTTTGTACACATAATGCTTAATCAGCTTGGAAAATGAGAGTTGCCAACTATCTGAGTCTTCACCCTTCTCTATTTTAAGTAAAATCAGCTCCCAATGCGATTTTCATTTCTTAACTTTAATTCTAAAGATTGCTGCAAAGCACAGTGCCTGAATCTTGACACAAGCTAATAATTAAGGGCTTAAATCTCAAAGGGTTTTTGCATGGTTCACGTCTGGCATGCAAACAGTTTACAGAAAGAATTGGAGATCACATTCTGGGGTAGCTCCTCTCTTAGTTTTTAGCAAAGGCTAGGATGTTGCAGTGATAAAAGCCAAGCGACTTCCAGGGTGGAGTTTTTGTGCGTTCCCTCTAAAACCGGCTTATTTTAATGGAATTTAAAGGCCACAAGAGTAAAGACTGTGCTGTAGTTGTGTATGTGTATAAGTTCTTAATCTAGTCTGTGGCAATGGTTGCATTTTTTTATGTTAATTCTGGTCTAATTACTTCACTCACCCAAAACTAAAGTGAACGATAAGGCAAACACAGATAATCCAAATGGCTACATTTATATTTAAAAAGCTGTGTGTGTATATATGTATGAGTATATATACATGCATACATACATACAACTTTATGCTTTGACTTAAGAATGTATCAGCTTTGAATATAATTTGCTGTGCTTTTGGTATTTAGATGAGGCTTTTTCTAGTCTGTTGAAGTACTGCTATTTTCTTGCTCTTTCCCCCAAAATAAAAAGCATGATGTTTAGCATAACTTTTTAATGTTGTGTGTATTTTAATTTACCATTTCCATGAATCCAAACCCTCCCCCCTTCCCAGCCTCCCCCTAAAAAACCTAGGAGTAGTCATCACCCCTGGATTGAAGCAAGCAATTTTTAAATTACAGTGGAAAAGGTTCTACCTGCCTGTATTTGGAATGGGAATTTCCTACTTCTCTGTCTCAATTGGATTTTACTTATTTTTGAATTCAGCAGAGAAAATCCTGTCTCTACTAGAATTAAAGATTCTGTTTTACAAATCCTTACACGGTGCCATTCATTAATAGTCCCACTGGTGAGAATGGACTGAGCGAAATTCACAGTACTTTCTCTTATATAAATGACTTAAAAAGCAAAATGCAGTATGCTTGTGAGTTGGGGAATGTGGAATATTTGGCTGGTATTCGCTGTACCAAGAAAAGCCGAAAAGTCTCAGGGCATCAGTCCACAACATCATCTGCACTGGAAAAAGGATGGATTATTAGGACTTGCTAAGTTTTCAGCACCTTGTCCCTTTTAATAACACCTTCTTGCATGTGAGAGGAGTTATAATCTATATTCCTAAGGCAAATTCAAACATTGTGAAGGCTGGCTAGCTAGACAAAGGTTTTAAAAACAATACATTTGTTATGAAGTCAATAAGCAGTTGTTCCAAAGGCAGATTTTTGTGCCTGGTGTTTCAGTTGTGAGCTGTATCTCTTCACCACATTAAAACAGCATGAAGTAGGGAAGTTGCTTTGCAAGAGAAGTGTTTCGTGGGAAAGTATAGCTTAAATACTGAGTAATTGTTACATGCAGCTTCAAGTCAGAGTTTGGTTGTGTGCATGACAGAACAAGCTGTGTTACTACAAAAGCTTGCCACCCTTGGTCCAAACCACATACCAACAACAATCCCTTTCCTATTTTTACTCCGTAACCCCAGTTTGAATTACATGTAACCTTTTAAGGATACCTTTTAAGGGTATAATGAAAGAAACTCTTGAAAAACTTCCCTACCCAGTGAATACCGCACAACTCTCAGTCCCACACAGCGCAGCCAGCTTAGCCGGCACTGCGCAGGCGCAGGAAAAGACAGGTTTTCAAGGAAACAAGGACGGTCAGGTGCCTGCTGCTCCCGGTTCAGAAGGCAATCTACCATGGGTAACTCTTCACTGGCCTTCCTCCAAAGGGCCTACAAATGCGGTAAAGCAGTTAGAAATAAGGAATGATTACATCTGTGCTAACTATATTTGAAGATTTTTTTTTTTAACAACTTACCACCCGCATTTTATTGCTGTGACAACTGCAGAATCATACAGTCATAATTACATTACAGGCTAGTCCCTCGGAAATGTTCTTGGTGTACGAAAAGAGAAGAGTCTGGAAGAAGTGCTCCACGCTGGAGAAAGCAGGTGTCATAAAAAATGGGTGGCTGATGCCCTGGCAGCTATAACAGACGAGCACTTAGGTTCAGCTTCGGCTCCTGGTGAATTCACTGTCAGCCCTATTGATTTTACTGGGGATGGACTTCAAAGAAGGGATCTTATTCCTGAAATCAGAACTGCTGCTTGGTCTCTTTTATTTCCAAGACTATGGAAGAGCTGCATGGTATCTATACAAGAGGTATTCAAATACACACTACCATTTTTTTCAAAGGTACTACTTTGTATCGCAGTGAAACGCAGTAGGCGATCATTTGAGTAACTTGTAAAAAAGATCAGTGTTGCTTCAAAGAAAGCTGTCCAATAAAGGTGTGGCAAAATTACACTCTGATAGAAGTTAGAAAGTTGCTCTGTTTTTACAAACCTTGTAAAAACTAGCAGCTGGAGGAGGAGAGAGACTGCTGCTTCCACGGACAGGATCATGGGTAAAACTCACCTTTTGATTTCTGTTTGGCCACCCAGCAGCCAGAAAGCAAAAGCCAGGTGGCCCAGCAGCCAGAAAGCAAAAGCCAGGTGGGCACCGGCTGCTGGCAGCTCTGCAGCAGCCGGGACACGTGCCATATCTTCCACGGTGCTGGGTGCCAGTGGGTGGTGTGGGAAGGAGGTGAGAGTCTTCAGCACGTCTTTTAGCAAGTGCCGATGAAAACTGGGGATACAGCAAGACCCCCAGGTGTTGCCTTCGGGACTAAATGGGATGTTGGAAGGGGTGAGTGTTGTGGCGAGGGATGCCACAGAGGTTTTGGAGATGGAGCTTCACACAGTTTGGAAGGAGATGCTGAGGTCCTGGGACACAAGTTGTTTAAGATCCCCATGTTTCATTAATTCTGCTGTCCACAGCTTTGGGATTTTTCATGTCCTTTTTCAACGTGTTTTAGAGTCTGGGTATACATTACTTGTCACGTATTTTTAATGTTACAGTCATTTGTTGCAGGTACACAGTTTTGCTTAACGGGAAAGAACGTGTTTTATTTGCCTTGCTGCCTAGCTAAAGCCATTCACTTTGCTTGAGGAATTAGGTTGCTCTGAGGGCAAGGGGAACTAATTCCCCCACTCTGTCATTCAGCTGACTGCTGGGGAGGAATGTGAAATGGGAGGATTAATCGGGTACATGCCAAAAGGAACCCTATGAACAGGTCTTTTCTTCTCCAACGTGCAGCTTTGTGTTCTTCAGCCACTTCGAAAGAATTTACTCCTGTTTTCGTGATGCCTGCCTGTAGAGGTTATATTACCACAGTAGTTTGAGGTTACTTTTCATATGCTACATGCATTTTCTCATAAAACAACTCCTCAAATGTACATTTTTCCATCCATTGTTATCTTTGGTTTATCTGAAGCTACTAAATTTAAGTCTAGACAACACTGCATGACGTAAGGAAATAACTAATTTGTTGTCTTAGCAAACTAGTTAAAAGCTCTGTCTTCTTTGCAAAGTCATCTTATATTGATTTTAACATTTTCTGGAAATTTCAAAGCTCCCTAACCTAAGTGCTAAAGCTTCCTAACTGGCTGTTCTATGATCCTGGCGACCAAAACTATGCCATTAGCTTTGCAAACATCCAAGGTCTGCTGCAAGGACTAGTTTCTGCCATGGCTTAAAGAACCTGGGGAATCTGTGCGTAGCGATCTGCGCATGGCGACAAACTCTCCCCAGCTGAGGTTGTCTGGGAGAGCGGAGGTGGCCCCAGAGAAGCCACGTGTGCTCCAGGGCAGATGTGGTGGATTAAACCGTAGGTGAGGCT